GACCCTCTAATAAATAAGATAAAGGAACAGTTAAAAGGGGTCGACGCAGTTGGGAAGAAGTGCTGGCATGGGTTCCCCTACACATGGGATACTCGGGAACGAAAAAGCTGACATGCGGCCAAAGAAGACCCCACTATGCTTCCCCCAACCTATTCGCCCAGTATTAAAACTATTCATTTCAATACAGTAAAATGAGAATGGAAAAACCGCTGGGTTCCTAAAAATAGAAATAACCCTGCCAGTCTGTGGCAGGTTAGGAAAGACGTCAGTCCCTTGTCCACGGAGAACGGTTCAAAAAAGTAAAAGGCCATACTGACAAGACTACGCATACGTCATACATCAATAACGCACGGGCACATTCTGGCCGGAACGCGACCGCGTAGGTGCCCGTTTTGCAAGCAGCGGTCGAGCACCTTTTCAATTATAGAAGGCTTGACATATAAAGACAATATTTTGGTATACCATCAGACCTGTGTGTGGTCTTGGGGCATGGCAGGGCTATAGAATTTTTAAATGTATGTAGTGTTTATGTGTTTTTGTGTTGTGTCTGTCTTATAATTACGTTAATTTATTGGAATGAAAATAATTTATTAGCGTGAAAGGAAGGAGTTGTTTAACCCCACTCCGAGGATTATCGAGTACTCTGCGGGAGTAGGTTACCAGACTTTATGTTTGTGGTGATGTATATTTACGTAGTGTATGTTTTATTCTGTATATTCTCTATATTTACGTTCGAAAGGCCGCAGGCTGAAAAACACGTGTGAACGACTAGAAAGAGAAGAACAAACACAAGGCCGGCGATGACCTCAGCTGCTTGTTGGCCCATAAACCTCCCATTTTATATACATTGCAATTTGGTGTATTGTTTGTTAATTTATGGTATTGCTTTAGCCTCATAGTACCGAAATAAATCAAAATGTATTATTCATTATTTAGAGATTTGATTTTTGAATGTTTGTCTGCGATTACTTTTGTAAAATTAAAACATTTCCTAATTCTACTAAAAAATAACAAGGCCAACAAAAAATTATTTGCGATTTTGCAGTTCAAGAAAATTATTTATTTAGTTATTTATTGCATGTCTATAAGATTCAAACTTGTCAATAGTATTATGTTTATTAATTCTAGAAGTGCTAGGGTGAAGTAAACAATTGAATTTTAAGTTTGCTTTGAAAAAGGCAGACATTTTCGAGTGCTTAAGCTGCTATAGACTTTTTTAAATATTTAATCTCTGTACTATTAAACTAATTAATTCTTTTATAATTTGCTTATAGATAAGGTAACACAAGTTTAGTAAATATTTTAATATGTGAAGGAATTAAATTTATGATCGTACGAGATTTGTCTACGGAAAGGATTTTTTTAGTTTAAAATCGATGTATCTTACAAAAATTTTATATTCTAGAGTTTGGTACAAAGATATCATTAATAGGATGACCGTAGATAATATTTATTAGCTTTTAAAAATCAATTTAATTTGATTGAAAAAAAAAGTTTGTTTCCGCCCAGGATCGAACTGGGGACCTTCTGCGTGTTAGGCAGATGTGATAACCGCTACACCACGGAAACTTCCTGAAAAAATACTTTACATAGCTGAATATATAGTAACAACCGAAACCTCGAAATTCAAAATTAACTCTCTTTGACAACAATTTTATTAATTAAAAGTTCATATCCATTTTCCTATTACACTTTCTTTTATTTTTAACAGTCACGCATTTACAAAACACAAAATTAACATGATAAAAATATTTTTTTTTAAGTTTTATTTATTGTTGTGATTACGTTACACAATATTTAATCTTTATGAAAGCGTATGCCCAATATAATTAATATCGGCCTTCAAGATCATAATTTTATATTAAAAATCAGAACGAAAGTATTGAAATATTAATTATATTAGGATATTTGATAGGAATTGACGGGTGTTTGACCTATTCCGCTGAAAATTACTTTTTTAATTTTATTACGCTTAAATTCGTAAGTTTAAATGTTGTAAATAGACGCTCAAATTTTTCATATTCCATATATAAGCCCTAAGAAGGAGATATATTCCTCGAAAGCACGAGTTTCTTCAAATTGGCCCAATCTCTGATTTTTAATATAAAATTTATAAAAGGCAACTTCAGAATAAAAAAGTGATAAGTAAATAAATCTATATTTTCGAAAAGGCAAAAATCTTTATCGTCAGGCCAAGGACAGTATGCGGGGCAAAAGCAAGCGCAAGGAGTTCAACTTAAAATGAAGATCACAAATATGTATTCAACCCTTTTTTCATTTCCCTTTCTTTTTTCGGATCTCTTTTAATTTTATTTGGGTATCTTCAGCAATTGTACAACCAAGTCACACACTCAAAGACAAAAAACCGGGTAATTTTTTTTTTTTTTAACTGTATGTAATTTTTATGTTATATTAATTATAACAAACCTATTTTAATGTAAACCAGAAATTTATTAGGTTTAATACAAATTCTGATGGTTTGAAAGAAAATTCAATCATATCATCGGAAAATCATCTAGTGATACATTAAAATTTAATTAACAATTTATTACCTGATTTTGGTCTTAATAATGCGTACTACCTCCTTTGGTACGGGCTATAAGCCGTTAAATATGTAAAGAAGCTATCGGATGTTGTCTTCAGAAACGAAATCCCATTCTTCAACAAGAGAGGTTTGAAGCTAGTCATCGCTTGTTGGCGGCGCAAAACGATGTCTAACCTGTCCCTTTATCAGGTCGCATAAGTGTTCTATGAGATTCAGATCAGAATAACTTTCTAGTCAATTCCTTCTGGTAATCCCTACACCCTCCGAGTAATAGGTGACAACTATATGCGGTCATGCATTAAAGCGAGTTTCCCCAAGGAACCTATTCGCTGAACACAGCTTCCAGAAGAACTTCCTCACGTTTCTTACTTCAGTCGAACATCCATTCTGTATGATTATCAGTTCGGTAATGGCTTGGACGTTGATTCTTCCCCATACCATAAGCGAAATGTCTTTGAAAATCTCGCATGGCACATGAAGCAAAGCGTTCTCCACGTCTTCTACAAACACAGTCCAGGTCATCTGATTGCCCCAAACCAAACCGACACTTTGAAAGAAATAGCCCCTCCCCCATTGTTCGAGTCTCCAAGCGAGATGCTGATCTGCGAATTGCCTATCTGTTCGATGCAATAGTAGAGAACCTGACACGGGACTGTACATATAGTTATAACAATTAATGAGAACTATAACAACTGGGTTGTCTGGAAAATAATACAGGATTATGGTTATAAAATAAAAACAATTAAATAAATGATTTGAAATATTTTTTATTAATTAAAATACCCTCCGTCACATTCAATACACTTCTCCCAACGTGATGGCAATTTCTCTATACCCTCTGAATAGAATTTTGAGTCTTATTATTAACAATTCTGTAAACGCATTTGATGACGAATTTTAATCAATAAATTATTTATGTTTTAAAATGTTAACCAGGTGTCTGAAAAAATGACTACAGAAATTTTAGCCGGTACGCGAAAGGTCTGGAAAATAGAGAGCATGAGGCAGAACCTCAAACTAAGATCCAACAGTTTTGGTGTTTTCACATGTGAGACATGGTGCCGAGCGTTATTGTGTAACAGAATCAGCCTTTTCTAATTGACCAAAGATGACTTCAATAATGTCAATTTCTGGTGCATTGCTTCCATTTGAGAGCAATACATTTCCGCATTGATTTTTTTGGCAGGATTTAAGAAGCTGTAGTAAATCAGCCCAAATGAAGCCAATCAAAGTGCCACCATCACCTTTTTTTATGAGTTGGGGCCTTTGGATGTTGCGCTGCTTCTCCTTCGTCGAGCCGCTGTCCAGAACGTGTGCTGTTATAGTAGAGAATCCACTTTTCATCACAGTTCATGGAATCATCAATTCTATCGAGAAAAGGTTTTTTTCTTTTTCGGCAAAGAAGTGTTGAGCAAACTTTATAACGATGATTATTTTGGTAGTCGTTTAATGCATGAGGAACCCAACTTTCGAGTTTTTTAACCTTTCCACTTGCCTTAAAGTGGTCAGCGGCGGTCGATTTGCTAACTGAATGATTCTCGGACAGTTGTTCTTACCTTTTCTTCAATCAAAGCTCGCAAAACACCATCATCTAGGGAAGAAATCCTTGAACGCCCTTCTTTGTCCTCAAAAATTAATTCTACCGCTCGAAATTTTTTAAACCATCTCTGAACATTGCTCTCATTCACACTACCATCGAATTCATTAATGTTTCTAGCAGTTTGAGCACCGTTCCAACCGAGTTTAAACTCGTTCAACGAATTTACTTGAAAATCACGCATTGACAAGTCAGTAAAGACTAAATTATTCCCAAGTAATGAAATGCTACTGAGGTAAACAAACATTTTTGTTTGAAAGAGGATTAAAAAGTGTTTACATTCCTACAAAAGAATAATCCATCAAACGTAAACAGTTTATTATATAGATTGGAAGAAAACGTGAAAACCTACATTATTTTCAGGTACCAATAAAGCTAACAATATTCCGGATTGTTACATATACATAAGAAAAAGCAGCAAAAATCCAAACTGAAGAGACTAGCCCCTAAATAAATTTTTAAATAAATTATATATAGTTATAGTTACACAAACAAAATTAAAACAAATATATTCATGGTAGGCAGTAAATACATAAACAAATTAATGCTGATTATTGAAATACCATATTACACCATATATAAAAATAAGCGTTTGTATGATTATATACCAACCGATGCCATGGTTTTATTCAAGTTTTGAATTGAGTCGGACTATTTGAGGTAATGCACTTGTAACATTTTTTCTTTAATTTTAATTTATATTTATTTATGAAAAAACCTCGTTTCAACGTGCATTCGACACTGAAATAATTAACAGGTTTTAGTCTTTATCGGAGAAAGGAGATACCGGGTTAGTCGGAATGTTAAAAGATTTGTAGAAGGACAAGGACGTTTAAAATTGTATATATTTGAAGTTTGACGCGGTTCTAATCACTTTTGTCCGAAAATGGCTTACATCAACGAGAGTGACTGCCTTCAGGTGCTTCAGGCCAAGCTAGGCTTCAACGACTTCGAGCTCGACGATTACAAACTCGTCCCTTTCGAAGAGATCAGGGGCTTTCATGGCAGTCACGCTCTTCTCAAAATCCACGCCACAGTCGAAGGTGAAAAACGCGCATTCAGCTTCTTCGTCAAGTCTGCGGCCAACAACGAACTGGTGTTCGAGAGGTACTGGAGCCGAGCCAAACTGTTCGCCAAAGAACACTTGATGTTGACGAAAATCATAAAGGATCTCCAAAAGCAAATCCCGAGGAAATTGACTGCGGATTGCTACCTCTCTAAATTGAACCAGTTCGTCGTTATGGAGAATCTCAGCCTCGTGGGTTACGACACGGCCAACATCAAGGATATGGACATGCCCCATGCTGAAGCTGCCATTCGAACCTTTGCCGATTTCCACGCCGCGTCTATCATCTTCGAAGAGAAAAACGGACTCACCTTTAGAGATAAGTACAAAGATATCAGTTTTGAATCGTTCTTCAGATTCGATCCGGAAAGAACTGAATGCTTGTTGTATTCAGCTGACAAAGGAGTAAGGGACGTCGTCGAAAAATACTTCCAAGATTTAGACCAGAAAATTATCAACGACGTGTTGGATAAAGCCGCCGCAGCTGCTGAGAGACTCGCGAAACCATCGGGAAAATACAGGAATGTCATCTGCCAAGGGGACCCTTGGGGAAACAACCTTCTCTACAAGTACAAAAACGGAAACCCGTCTGAGGCCATCGTGGTAGATTTCCAGGCACAAAGGTACGCCCCGCCAGCGCTCGAAATTCAACAGTTCCTCCACCTCGGAGCTTCGACTGAATTTGTGATTAAACACGGCGAGGAGGTCAAAAACATCTACTACGATCAAATGACGAAAACGCTTAAACATCAAAACATCGACGTGGCGCGTATCTTGCCGAGAGACGTATTCGAAGAATCCTACAGATACTATGAAGAATTCGGAATAGCCACAAGGCTTTATTATGCCCTGTTGACGAAAATTCCGGGCGAATACTTATTAAAATTAGCCGCTGACGAAAAGGAATTCTTGTCCCTGATGGTCGACGGTACTTCTTCGGTTCCTTTGGAGGCTTTCGAGAAGCACAGCAGATATCGGCAAACATTGACTGAAGCTATAAACGGGGCCATCAAGTTCTACGAAACACATATTTGATTTAACATCGTTTACAAGTCAACTCTCGTGGAGGAGTCGGATTCATATCGTCCTTATCATAATTTATTGTCTAACTTGGATGACCTGTTCACCCATCCTATTACACCCCAATAAGTAACCTTTTCCACAACGTCTTATTTTTCCTTTCTGACAATCAATTCATGCGTATACCAATAAACTTCTCTTTTGAAAAACGTTCTTTTTTTAAACACCTACCAAATAAAGTTATGATTTTTTGTACTCAACGTTTTAAAATCATTGACGAGATAACAGTTGTCCACAACAATGCCACTTGGGAGCATTTGTCATTGTGTGTTCTGTTATTTTTCTGCTTTACTTTACAAAAAATATGTAATTACTCAGACATTAAAAATATTCTTATTTAAATTGTTTAACTCATTGTTTACACGTTGCACGAAAAAAAAAAACACCACTGCACATACATTGTGAACCAGAGGCATAAAGAAGCTGGAAAACTGTTCTTTTTTTTTAATTTTAAAAAGGTTTTAGTAGTGAATGTCGAATCTTTTTCTCGCCTATAATAAATGATCTAATCCTAATTGCTTTTTAAGATTAACCGTACTAGGTCTCGCTATGTTCGCTTTTCTTATCCCATTAGTTAAATTTGTAATGTATAACAGGAGGTTTTGTTCACTTGTTTGAAAACTAGATTGATTTTAAGAAATAACTTGAGTTTGAATTGATTCTTGGGAGAATCAATTATAATTATAGGAGAAAATAATCAACAAAATGTGTGAAAGTTTAGAATATTTATATTAAACCATCTGTTAAAATTCTAATTTTAAATAATCAATAAGTACAATTTCATATGTAACATTTTTATACTTTGGTTTAAAACTACAAAATTAGGACAAATTTTAGTAGAAAAACTCTGGAAATGTCAATAGGAAGATATATTCTTAAATCCGTAAGTTGGATTAAATAATGGTTTTGATTTCAAGCTTTAAAAAAATTGACGATGAACCACACAAAAAAATGTATTTCTTTGAAAAATTGTTGATTGTTTAAAAAACGTGATTTGTAGACGTCGAGAAGATTCTCATCGGAACAAGCCTGGCCCTCAGAATTGTATGAGAAGCCCAGCCCAATCGAAGATAAACCGATCAAGATAAAGAAAAATTTGCCAGTTCCGAGAAAACGTCTGGGCGAGATATCGCGGATTGTCATGGGCACTCACATCCAGCCGAAACCGAACACAGTGACTGCGAACAGGCTAACCATTTGCCCGGGCGACGAACTCATACATATTGTAATGAAGGACTTATTTTAGATTCCAATTTAAAAATGACCTCTCACATCTCACAATAAAATGAATCTAATATAAATATTAATAATAATAATAATAATAATATATGCTACTTTCTATTGAGACAGTGTGTCTTGATATTTGTCTTTTCTGTACTCTTGATTTAAAAAATATAAGCAGAATTTCTAAGGGTTTTGCAATCCAACTTAGTTTTATGATTTTGAGATTAAGTTTCATATTTCAACTGTGTGCAATGATAATTTTGCAATAATAATGATTTAATTCGTCTCTTATGGGTTGATAATAAACCAATTTATCCAGTATTTCAGCAGTGTTACCATGAAAGTATCGTATTGTATGTACCTAATCTAAATTTTTAAATTCTTAATGTAATAAATAATTTCCACTATTTATATTTTGTTTATACATCTCTTCTAGTACTGACCTTGAGTCGTAATCAGGTTTTTCTTATACAGAACCATAAGTAAATGCAGCACCATTGTTTTCAGAGTAAAAAATCATTTAAAATGAAGTGTCAGGATGTATAGGGTCGTATTTGAAATTTTGAAGTTGAACTAGGCCTGAGGTACCCTGTACTGTTTTTCTCCTAAAAAAAGGTAAAAATTCAAAACTAGACTAAAAAATATTAAATACGAATTTTTTGGTTTTTCGATAACGTAGTCTATTCAAGAAAGTCAGCCGGGCCATATAAAAAGACACCCTGTTCATACGGGATGTTATAGTGCTCGCCACTTCCCCAGTAAATTTAATTTACTATTAAAATACTAATCAAAATTTGTAATACTAATTAAAATTTATTGTTAATTATTTTTGTAAAATTTGGAAACATAAGTAAAAACTTTCTAAAGTTCGCTGTGAAAACTTGATAATTTATTTTAAGCACTCATGAGCTACATAAATAGCTCACTGTTTTTCTTTCATCTAAGCTTGGAAAATACGAAAACATTTAAAACTTGACGGCACATTCTACAATTTTAGTAGACGTATTTCACTTAAAAAAGAATTCACTAATTTCGTGGTCCGCTTGACCAATTAATATATTACAATTAATTAAGGTTTTCATTTGAATTTCTACCATTGTATAAATTCACTTTTTTCATATCCTACATGTATTTGTATAATTTAAACAATGTTTATAAATCCCAGGCCCTGAGGATGATCCCAATAAAGATTGAAACGTTGGCACAATAAAGAAAATGTTTTTCTAAAACCTACGTCCCACCAGATCTCCAAACAATCATTAATTAACGGTCACTAATCACCACACATAAAAAAAGAAGTTTAAAAATTCTGAGAATACCTTCTTTAGATGGTCATTTAAGCTCCGATGGAACTTTGGTAAATTTAATAAAAAATGTCTACCAAAAGAAAATAGTTATTCTCGTCGAGGATAGAAAGACAAATAAATCAAGAAAAAATGAAATAATCCATATTTACCTAGTGAACATAATTATTCCAATTAATTATTCTTTTTATGTAATGTTTTTGGTTAAGATGAAAAATTAGTGTCACGAGCGGGATCTTCATCTCAACCAAAAACCTTAGATAAACAGAATAATTAATTGAAAAAAAAATAAATGTTGAAAATTATTAAAATGTAATTTGCACCTTCCACTGGCAATGTTAAGTGGTATTCGGCATGAATGGTACATATTTTTGAGACGGAAGGGGTTCCGCGATCTGATTGAACGAAATTCAATTGTTTTGTTGCAATCAGTTTCGCGGACGATAAGGATTTTTTCAGTGCGGCAACGAAGCAAATCACATTAGGCTTTGTCTCAATCAGAATGTGCCCCAGAAGATAGGATTTAACGTTTCCGGCTTTTCAGTGGGCGATTCATATTTCTAATCTCCACTGGAGATCCATCCAGTGAATTCATTCCGGGTATGAATGCGGGGGAGTAAGGATTATCCGTTCTAGCTAAAAATAAAACGCCTTTTTAATAATTGAACATGCTTGCCAATTAACGTGCTTTATAATTTACTCGACTTGCACGGAGATGGCCTTTTTTTTATATTTCGTACTTAAACCGCAGGCAAAAACTTTGCGGTGGCCAAGGAAGGAAAGGAAAAATTATCTTCAACTGCGGCTGAGTAATGAATCAGCGCAAACCTTAAGAATTCCAAGAAGAAACATTCTGCACGTTTTGGCATAAAATTTCTTTCGGTATTTTACTAACTTAAACTTCGGTATTTTACTAACTTAAACTTCAGTAGCTTTTATTTGCCGTCCAAATCCGAAGTAGAAAACCACGTTTAAAATAAAACAAATGGTAAGTAAGAGGGAAATTTAATGAGATTAATATTCCATACTCAAATGCCAAATTCTAGTTTCCTATCAGCATTGATTTATATTATTCAGAAATCGTGAGATGCGGTCTGGTGTGATATAGGTTTCAGCACTTTCAACACGACACGCAAGAATGGCACAATTACACAGAAGACAAACACTTTGAGCCCTGAAGATGATCTCAATAAAGATCGAAACGGTGGCACAATAAAGAAAATGTTTTTCTGAAACCTACATCACACCAGACCGTATCTCACGATTTCTGAATATTTATCGATTAACGGTCACTAATCACCACACATTGATTTATATCTCTGACTTTAACAAATAAGAAATCTATTTCGATTAAATTAAGATGTTAAATTAAGATGTTAGACATTCAATTGCATTTTAAATTTGTCATATTTTAGATATACACTAATAATAATAATAATAATAGGCTTTATTAACAAATTCAAGTACATTATATATTCCTTTTTTATTCCATATGCTAGACATACTCATAGCCATTGAGGTCCTCTGGAGCAAAAAAAATCATCTTAATAGAAATAAACGAAAATAAAAATAAATGCAAATACTATAAAATTAGAATCAACTAGATAGATAGATAGATAGATGTAATAATTCAGGGTATGGTATACTGCGCCCTTTAAGAGCTATTGTATCCCCTGTGCTCTGCNCCAGATATTTGACTTCATTTTTGATTTCTATCACAGTGTTGTTTAGTTTGATTACTTTCATGTGATCTAGCTTTCTTTTCCGTGTAAAAGTGACTATAGTTGTTTTGTTTGGGTTGATTCCCAAGCCTGCACTTTTACACCATTCTTCTGTGATTTTCAGTCCCTCTTGGATTATATCACAGAGGATTTCCTCGAATTTTCCCCTGGCTGTCAGGACTATGTCATCTGCATATCCCTGACATTTTTAGAATCAACTAATAAAAAAATAAATTTCGCTGCATATATAGACTTAGATCAAAGTACACAAAACATTAATCTAAAATTACATTAAACATTTGAAAAAATAGCCATTAACAAATACTTATTTTGGTTTGGCGGTACACACTTTAGAAGTTAATTATTCGGAAATCGTATAGAAATGTGTGGTGATTAGTGACCGATAGTCGATGATTATTCGGAAATCGTGAGATGCGGTCTGGTGTGACGTAGTTTCAGAAAAACGTTTTCTTTATCGTGCCAACGTTTCAATCTTTATTAAGATCATCTTCAGGGCCTGGGATTTACAAATATTGTTTAAATTTATCAAATACATGTAGGATATGGAAAAAAGTGAATTTATACAAAAAATATTTTTTATATTCAATCAAAGTATTTCTACTCACTCAAAGTGTTTGTTTTCTGCGTAATTGTCCCATTCTTGCGTGTCGTGTTGAGAGTTTTTAGAAGTTAAATTCATTTACTATGTTGTATCAGTATAGCCAGACGTTCTTGTAGTGTTTAATTGAACAACCAAAGTTCCTTCCATTTAAATATTCAATAAAATCCTCCAATGTTAATATAAATTTATTAAAATAGAGTAACCGGTACTCAGTTAGGATAGGGCAAAAGCAACAAAATTATAACACCTTCATCCTCCCCACGGTTATTCGGCACATTTTTACGCCGTCATCTAAATGATATTTATTTAAGTAGAGTAACTCATCTCCAATTTTTATTAGCCAACTTATCAAACTTGTATTTATTTCGGACCTTCCATATTGCCTAACACTATACAAATGTTTGTAAAGAGGATGACGAGTACTGTTTTCATCTCTTAACATGATATTGCTTATGACCAATAAGCATCAAATTTTTAATTTTATCTATTAAATTCACAACTTGCACATCTTGTAACGCATGCATTTTATTCATGTTACACTTCTCACAAGCTTTATTTACATCATTGGACCAAAACAACCTTATATTATTTCACTTAAAAATGTTTTAGGGCTAAGTGAAGAGCTTAGATATTTATTTGCTTGGCACAAATTTAACTTCAGTGAGAACATGAAAAATAGCCTTTTCTTAGCCCCTACTCCTTTCACTGCCAGATGTGTGTGGAGGGGCATGGCGGTAAATTTAAATCTACACGTGACACATGTGTTATAGAAAAAAAGATTAATTCTTATAACATTTGTTTTGATTAATTCATTGTATATAATAAATATAATAATGGAACGCACATAGATTGTTTATAAAACATAAAAATTAAATTATTAATATTTCAAATTGTTCTTTAATGTCATAATTATTTTGTTATCTATGCCGGTCTGTGAAAGACTAAATGAAATAACCTAAAGAATAGGCAAAAAGGCTGGAAAAAGCTAATTAGCGATTATCAATTTTTAAAGAAAACCCATTAAGGCCTCTTTGTGTGTAATTTTAAAAAAATTTGATAGCTCGTAAAGAAACATCTCTCATCCCAATTTTTCATCTTGAAGTTTAAAATAGGCTATTAGAAAAGGGTGAAACCGGATGCCAGGCAGTAATCAAAAACCCTATTACACGAAAAAGGTTTTCCGCTAACCAGGAGACATTCTATTACGTCGACATAGAATTTATTATGCTCATCCTGGGACACGTTCTGTCTTTAATTTCCTCCTTTCTCGGAGGTTCTCGATGGATATTAAAACGGAAAAGTGAAATTGCTGTTAAAGAATATTTGTTAGCTGGGAAAGCTCTGCCTTGAAGGTAGGAAGACTCCGCTGATGAACTTTTCATCCCTGGTATGATCAGAAAATAAAGACGGAGGGAGTCTTTATAATTTCAAGAACCCTTAAATTTTTATGGCCTCTTTCTCCCGTCTATGACAAAAATGCGCATTGTAATCGAGATTAAAGAACCTCCGAGTCCTTGTATCTTTGAAAACGTTGTTAAAAACTTAATAATCTGCAGGTGTAAATTCATTATTTATAGAAGAATTATTTTTGGAAGTAATTTGTAACTTTTTAATGCTAATCGCGAGAGATTCCTTTGAGACTACGCTTTTATGAAAAGAAAACTGCTAGCATAAATCGATTTTCTTAAAATTCTAAAAAAGATCTATCATACGATGTTCGTTTGTCTTCTATAAATCAAATGTCGAGGGAGGAATAAGATTCACTGTTAAAAATGTTGACAATGTGTATGTGGGAATTTATTTATCTATTAGTAATAATCTACATAAACAAACATTTTTAAGCATAATGGCATTGTTTACTGTACACTGTTTTGTAATGTACCATTAATGTTTTAGGTCTATCACTTGCGAGTGGGTTGGTGGTGTTCGCTTCGGTGGTGAGCGACGTGTCGTTGGAAAGGCCGAGGAGAACATCGGGTCCTACTTTTCAGTATCGATACGGATGGTCGTTCTTCAGCGCTGGTGCTGCTTTTGTTTTGGCGGAAGTGGCCGCGGTTCTGTGCATCACGGCATATTTGCGTCGTTTTCCGACTGCGGAGCATATGGTGCGTGCCGTGGTGCCCGGGGCGGAGAGGAAGCTGCTGGCTTCCAGGCATTCCGACTACGGCGTCAGAACTCCTTCGGAGCATAACAAGGAGCTGCTCGTCCCCTCGTTTGAAGAGGCGTTGGACGGGCCGTTATTGACCAAGCCCGACCTATGCACGACTACAGAGACCCAGTGCCAAAGCTGCAAAAAAGAACAGGAACGTCAACTGGCCGGTACCACGGTCCCCATCCAGCTCGGGACGAACACGCTGAGGCCGCAACGGACCGCACCGGCCTATCCCGAATACAACAGACGATACGCCACCTTGGGACACACGGGTGTCCTCCACGCAGGAGTCTTGGGCGTATCGGAAGCGGGAGGCAGCTGGAGTTCGGGGTCGAGCCCCAGCTCGAGTTCGAGCTGTCCTCGGCCTCCGAGGAAACACCATCAAAAGACACCACCACCTCCACAGGCGGTTATTTGACAGGAAGTTAACTCGGACGAGGACATTGTCTAACAGAGGTAATACTTTATTTAATTCCTTATATGTAAGGCTCTCAACAAATTGTGTACAATAGAAAATTTTATTACTAATGTTTTTGTCTATATATCGTCTTTACATAGGGATCCTTTCCATATAGGGAGAGATGTACCATGTTGCCATTTGTAATAATAGAACGTATAGAAGCTTTAGAGAAAAAGCTTTTATAGTTGCTGCATAAATACTTCGAATGTATATACGATCACATATAGACGTCAAGAGGAAAATATCAGATCTGTTCCCTCTAAAATAAAGAAAGAATAGCCACCATTCTCTCTCCCTTTCACACAAAATTAATATTAATTTAAAAAATAAATATTGAACAGTCAGTCGAATATTTGAAAAATTTCCATGATTTGGACAATAAAAATTCAATAAACAGGGTGTCTTTTTTTAAAGGCCCGGCAGAATTTATCTTGAACCAATGAATATTTTTTAATCTACTTTCAAATTTTTACTTTTTTTCGAGAATAATTATACACGGTACTCGGACCTAGTTCACTTTCAAAATTTCTATACGACCCCTAATACATCATTTTAAAGGATGTATTACGCTGAAGATAATGGTGCAAACGAATTTTAAATTGGTTTAAAAATTGACAAGGTCATGGCAAAAAGAAACAGGCAGCGTAATTTCGACGAGGAACTGAATATTTTACTGTACGGTGGCGAAAATCCAAATTCCTTTTTCTGAAATTTTAAGCTGTTTCGTTCTCATCTTGTCTAGGGACTTCGCGACTCTGATTATGAAAGGCGGCTAACGTTCCTTGCACAAATGTCGACTTGGGACGCTGAAGAAAACGTTCTTCCATACATCCTACGGACTGATGAATCCATGTTCACCTCTTATGGCATACCAAACCGTTGGAATTTTCGAACGCGGCCAGAGGAAAATGCGAGAATTTCGTACTCTTGTCATGGCAAATGTTATAGAAAAAAATAGTCGTTGTGTCAACAGTCTACGCCAATCATAACCCAGCAACCTCAGATGAAGAACTGCGGCAAAGGATAGAAAACCTATCGCTCTGAGCACCGGTGAAGAGTGATTAAAAAGAGCAAATCTTTGCATCATCAAGACAGGCAGTTCGAACATGAAATGTGATTAATAAATAGCAAACCAAATGACGCTGCCGGTTTCTTGGTGATGGAGCAGGAACTGATTCGTATCCCTCATTTGCTAGCAACACGAATAAACGTTTTGTGTTTACTGTGGGGCGCTCAGGAAATTTCTGGGAGTACAACTCGACTGCATGACGCGCAATACCACCACTATTAATAAATCATTCATATATATCAACTCCCTGTTGATCGGAAAAATGAGGTGTTCGGTTCGTTTTGAATGAAATGCTGAATGTAACTAATAGATACTGTTGTAAAATTTATTTACTTCCAGGATTTAAGATTTGCTCTCTTAATGCGAGTTTGGCAAACAAAGACAGAATGTAAACAATAAAGGCAATTAATGTTTACTTTAGTCAAGCAGCAAATTATTGTAATTGACCACGGACCTAACAAAATGCGTTTTTTCAAAAACTTGTAACTTTGTCATTTCTTGGCCAATTTAAAATGATGTGTCAGGATGTACAGGGTCGTATTTGAAATTTGGAAGTTGAACTGGGCTTGGAGATACTCTGTATAATTTTTCTCCAAAAAAAGTTAAAAATTTAAACTAGGTTAAAAAGATTAAAAATGTATTTTTTTTTTTTGATAGCGTCATTGGTTCAAGAGAAATTCAGCCAGGCCATCTAAAAAGAACACCCTGCATATGTAATTATTATAGAACTTACACATAACTTGTACAATATGACAGTCAAAATTAACTCTTACTGAATCAACAACTATTACAGACTCAAACAGACTTATTTTGAAAGATCTGAAATACACCATCAGTTTTCGAGGAGGTATAATATCCAGGACTTTATGAATATTCAGATCGAATTTCGCTTCGTGGTTTGAGCGAATTCACATGAATTTAAATAATAAATAGACGCCTGACATGGTAAAAAGGCCTTTTGAATTTTTATTGGGCTTTATTTTTCGATACCCCTTTGTCGATCGTTACAAAGATACCGGCGATTTTGTAATTATCTCGTAACATCTCAGATTTTTCGACAAGGACGTTTGATAATGGTAAAGGAGGAATTCGAATAAGTGGGATATCAGATAACACATTTTCTTTTCGTATTTTCAGTTATAAAAATATTTTATAACTTACTGTTATTCTGTCTCTTATAACTAACAAGTTCCAAACCTTTGTGTTCCAGGCATGTGGCTGGAGATCTCCCCGTCCGAGGTGCTCTTATTGCCGCTGAAACTGTTTTCAGCACGACAATTCAATGCGGACATATCAACAACTCCCTCTCATATCTTGTTGAAACGATACAACAAGTCACATACGTTTTTGACCCGTTACCGCCTGTACATATGTAGTTATACAACTAATAAACCTTTGTATATAAACAAACGAATTATAGTGCTTGCTGTCTTGACAAGATTTTATATTATTGTTAGAGGGTGCAAAAGAATTTTGTGATAACTTACTAAGAGGATTTGTTGACAATATTGTTCTTTGTACAATTTTTTATGTGGTTAATTAGAATATACTGTTATAATGGACAATTACAAACTTCATACTTTAAAATATATGTTATCACCATTAAAAACTTTAAACAATTTGTTAAACTGGAAATATGATTCTTTTCAAATGAATTTCGATATATCATTTCTAAAAATAAATCATTAGACTATAATTTTCATCACAACAAAACCAAACTTTGGTATATTATTTTTTTAAATAGTTTTAAAATAAGCATGAAAAATAAATTGGTAAATTTGTAGAATTTTTTTTTATGTATATATTTTCTATTGATAATGACTAATTAATGAAATAAATATCAGCAGTTAACGTGATCACTGCCATATACATAAGGCAGAATGAGTCCGTATTGAGCATAGGATAATCGTTCAATTAACAACACACAATAATCTCTTATAAAATTAACCACCAATATTATAATTTTATATTAAAAAAGATCAGGCCAATTAGAAAAATTAAAAGTTCTTTTGGCGAGCTTTAGTAAAAATACAAAATAACTCCTATTTAAAAATGTAAAAAATGAATGATGAAATGTTTATTATTAAGCGTGAAACTTGTATTAAGTAAAACGACAGCAAAAAAAATTTTTTCTACGTTAATTTATCTGCCAAATAATTGCCAAAAACACTTTGTGAATAAAACGATCCTTTTCAATTATTTACCAAAATTATAATGGTGAAAATTGTGTTTTATGAAATTTTTTTATTACCGAGTAGTGATCACGTTAATGAACAAATTTTTACATAACATCTAAAATACCTTTCAGATCAAAATTAATCCTTCTGTGATTTGCTTGGTTGGAAATACTCAAAAAGCTCGAAAGGCTTTTTACCAATGCTTAATAAATACATTTTTTGTTACTGTTAATAGCTGTGATCTGAAATTTTGCTTCTTGTTGCAATGAATTTTCGTTATTCATCTCTAAGAAAACAAATGTGTTCAGTGATTCACGACAGAGAGTTTACATAAAAAATGCCCATCTACTACATGCTAATGTGTTAAACGATGAACAAATGTGTCCCTTCACCGAATTTGAAATAATAAAGATTATTTTAAAATGTTTTAACTATATGTATTTTATCCCTTATAAGAACTTTAGGTATTTACTGATTCCAGGAGGTGTCGTGTAATTGTGTTAAATAACTAATTAAACTGATTTCAAAACCAACAACTTTTAATTACTTTTGCGCCGTTTATGTCAAAACATGTTAAATCTAATATCGAATAATTAACGTCATTAACATGTTTTAAACAACAACATTAATGAACAATAACTAAAACATTAATATAGGAATAAACAGCCAGGTATTTATCATCGGTAGGGTTGTGTAAAATAAAGCCCTACAGAAATATTTGTGTACTTGTGTAATCAGCTCTTTCTACGTAAGTAATTAATCATATTTCAAATTTTTATTTCATTTATAAAGAGATTTTTTTAACTGAAACTTTTCATTTTATTCTCAGCTTGATATTTCCTGGTAATATAGACTTTTGTTTGTTGTTGGTCCTTTCCGACCTCCTGCTCCACATATTGTCGCTGCTTTGGTCAGACGTTTTTCCGCCATTTCGCCATCTTCAATGTTCTGCAAATCCCATACCAAACAGGAAAACTTCACGTTACCATTCTTTCAATAACATTTTATTGAACTATTAATAAAACGATCCTTTCTATAAACTCTGGGTTTCTGAAATAGATAAACATTCAAAAATTGAATATATATCCCTTGAGTGTGTTCAAGCTGTGGAAAATGACAATAAACATATAAAAATGTGAACATGTCACTTCACCCTTCGGAGAACAACCACTGCTCCCATCTATTACATAACCATCGTGGGAGAATAACCACTGTTCCCATGAACTACAATGGAATCCCTCTCCCACCAGACAGTTTAAACAATTATTTTGTAGATTACGTCATTGTGTTTTGTTATTATTTTGTGACTCATTTGGGACATATTGCCTCTACAATCAAAAATCTTTCGAACCATTGTTAATGCTCCTTTCAATGTATCCAAGCTTACCATTCTCAATGACCTTAATATCCAATACGTCCTTGAAGTAGTGAAAAACCGCTCCAAGAAGTTTCACAAACCTCACGTTTCTGACATTCTGCACCCGTCTAAATAATCCCGCTGGAATGTTGCAGCATCAATCGCCTCGCGACCTCCTAACTGACAGTGAATAACAGTGAAAGTGATTAATGCTAATATATATAGGAGTGACACTATATGAGTAATTTCTCTTTTTGTTGTTTATGTATATTTTTTCGTTCATTTTGTTTTATTTTACGCTGTAAAACGCTATCAAATTTACTTAAGCGCAACAATTGACTCATGTGTAAATAAATGAAGAAGATTAAAAACAAGAATATGTACTATAATTTAAAATAAACGAATAAACATAGTTAATTGTTTTTCCACGACTTTCGTACTTTTTAAATTATTACTATATGAATTACCAATCCCTCGGCTCTTGGAAACAACCCTTTTATTTTAATGAACTAATAACAAAGCGTGTATAAAATAATTGATTATGCAAATTGGAAACAATTATCTTTTTTTTAATTAAATCATTTTCGGGTAGTGTTATAATTAAATTATCTAATGCTCTTTTACGAGGCAAATGGGAATAAAGTTTAATTCAGTATGAAATAACTGAGAATATCTTTTGAGTAGCTTTGTACAAGAAGTGTAACGTACAAAAATTTTTTTTCAACAAAACAATGTAGGAGTATATTACTCACAAGAGGAATAGCTCACTTTCCAAAAATTAAATTTTGTGCGCTTAAACTATTTTACTCTTGGCGCTCTATTGTTTTTGCTATTTTTATTCTATTTCTCTACTTTATTTTACTACTTAAAGGCTCAACATTTCACAAAGACATTGGGCGAAAAACATTTCAATACAAAATAATAGTACAAAGGCGAATCCCTGTGCCAAAATACAAATTAATTACCGAAAAATATTTTCTAAGGCTTTTGGGTGTGAGATTGTAAAAAAAAAAATTAAAATCAAGAATGAAGGTGTTAAAACGGCAAGCGAATTAAACTACAACTCGGTTGTTTTAATTTCGACTCAATCCAAGTCACTTCTTTTGTGGCTGGGGATTTGAATTTAAATGAAACCCTTTATGGAGCCACAAAAGAAAGAATAAAAATGTCTTGAAACTTTTCTCCACAGCACTCTCTTCTTTACACTCTGTCGAGGTTTGGTGATGGAAATTGAATACTCCAGCCTTTTCACTTCCAATTTTCACTGAAATATATAACGAAAAATAAGAGTCGTAACATACTTAAAAACGGATTGTTACGTAAATCGTATATTCGTAAACATTTTATTCCTGAGGTATTTTATGTAATGATTCAAATTGTAATTTTGTCGCATTATCGAACTAATTTATTAATTTTACTTTTAAATTTTTAAAATATCTTGCGCAAAATTAATATAATATATAAAAATTATATGAACGGATTACAATATCCTTTATCCACAATCCAAACTTTTGAGTAGTTTATTTTAAATAGTTACCAGATACCAAAGAGAGACAAAAATACGTAGTAGTACATACTATTTTGATTGCTTATTCTACTTGCAGTAATCGCATCTCACGATTGATTGCAATATTATATATATATATATATATATATATATATATATATATTATGCAGGGTGGGCGACCAAGATCCGAGGTCTTGCCTCCTGGGTGGACTCGTATCCCATCTCTAAAAGGTCCGGGACTTGGTCGGCTCACGTGTCCTACATAAACCTCTTGGACCTGTTCACAAACCCCAAGATTTTGGACCATTTAATCTCGGAGAGTGATTTGGTGATGTCCTCTCCTTCAAAGATTTCAAATCTAGACCTAGCAAATCTATCACACTCCTCGAGGTAGAGCCTTGCCGTTTCTTCTTTTATTTCGCAAAAACGGCAAAAGGGATCTGGTAGGATACACATTACGAAGAGGTGTCTTCCCAGTGGGCAGTGGCCCGTCAGAATAGCTATCAGCTTCCAAATCCCCCCCTTGAGGTAGAGAATAGCCATTTCGATTCTGCTGGTTTGATAGCCTTAACAAACTCTTTCGATTGCCTGTGTCCGGGGGATAAATTCCACTCCCTAAGGAATTGTTTCATGCCCCAGTTATTGATACTCTCTTTCGCTGTGCTCATAGAGTGAGGTAATACCGGTTGTGGTCCAACAAACGTAGTATTAGAACCTTTTTTGGCTGGGCCATGCGCCTTTTCATTGCCATGGTGTCCTTTATGTGCTGGTATCCAAATAGGGGTTACCTTGTTCTCAAACCTGAAAGAGATCCTATTGATAAGATCTATAGTTTCATCCACCAGTCGTGAGGTTGACAAATCTTTTTGTAGTGCCCTAAGACTAGACTGACTGTCAGAAAAAATTCTAATATCTTTTCTCTTAATTTTATTTTCCATAAGTGTTCTACAACACACATTGATGGCCCAGATTTCCGCCTGAAAAACGGAGGAGTTATTGCCAAGAGGGGAGGAGATGCTGATCCCTAATTTTGGTATGTAGATTCCTGCACCACTCCCCCTACCTTTGATCTGTGTAGCAGTCTATGTTACGATGGTCATCATCCAGACTATAATCATAATCACAAGGGGTGACTACCTGAAAGTGCTTTTTCCCCGAAGGGGTTTTAATCTTTTTATCACTAACGCTTAATAATTGACCGTTAACCTTACTCAATAGTTGAGAGATTTTCGAGTGACCTATGTTATTGCACTTATGATTCCAGCTGCCCTCGCTAATTAATCTGTAGCAGCTGATTAGTGCTCTGACCTTAACCTCAATGTGAAGTGGTGTGGTATTGGTTATGATTTCAAGTGCTAGGGTGGGTGTAGTTGAAAATGCTCCTGTCATCATCAAACAACCTAGTCTTTGAAATGACCTTAATTTATTACTATTCCCTTTATTTTCTAGACCTTTCCACCACACTAAAGCTGCGAAAAAGAATCTAGGTAGAATAATTGCAGTATATAGCCATTTGGCTACCCATGGTTTGATGCCCCATGTTTTACCGACAATTCTCCTACATTGTACCATTGATATAGTGCCTTTCCTGTATATGTTATTAATATGACCTTTCCAATCAAGTTTCCTGTCAAGTGTCACACCAAGGAATTTGATGGAATCCACTAACTTTAATTCTATGCCCTGAATTTTAGGGTTTTTAAAATTACCTAATGTTCTTCTCCTGCTAAACATTATCAATTCTAGTTTAGCAGGATTAATTGATAAACCTTTGTCACAACACTACCTATAAAGCAATCCCATGGCGTTTTCCATCAGTAGTGAAAGAGTCAGGGTGATTACCCTCCCGTAAGGATCATTACCACCCGATTCAGAATAGATTACAAATACTGATCTCGTCGACCTTAGGCGGATCCTAGACAATCAATTATATTGCACAATATTTCGAAGTGCTCAACATTTTTGACCGCTTAGGGATAGTATTGAAGTTTGCTCAATGATTGAACAAAAGTTTGAGTGTGTTTAATCTTTATTGCACCATATTTTTTCATTGAACCGTGTAGGGTTAATATTGCACAATATTTTTAATCTATGTCCTGTGTACGAAGGGCAAGGACATCTCGCAAGTTTGTATCGACAAAATGACGGAAAAGTCGACAAAACCAAAGAAAAGGAGGTCATACTCGATTGCATTTCTTACGTTTAAGCACCAATACGATAGCTACAGCCAAATCATGGTCTGACCTCTTACAACACTGTATTGGTAACGTTTAAACATTGTCGCTTATAGGCCGTCAATATTATTTCATGATAAATTGGGATCAAGATGTCATTCAATACTGTTGTACAATAAAAGTATTGGGCAATATTATTGTAGGTCTAGGGTCCGCACTTAGTTGTACAGTCTCGTATATAGGTCGATAGAGGAATATCTAATTCTCCCTAGTAAAGGACGTATTTAAAAATGAGTGAATGTGAATAATAGTGAATTGAGGTTTAAAAAACTAGTGTGCAGTTGGAAATGACCTAGCTGTAGCTTGACTAGACTAAGCAGAACGAATA